CACACCATGTGCAAAAGGAAGGGGGAGGCCAGGGTGAGGGGCAGAGGTTGAGCACTTAGGCCCCCCACCCTGATGGCATCCATATTTGCAAGGCAGATGATTCTGCACAGCAAGATGCTTTTGATGGCCCTTACCACCTGCAGAAGAAGACAAACTTCGGGTCCCCATTCCCAGTCCCTCTTCCCTCCACTCACCAGGAGCAACCCTCTGCAATCACACCCTGGCAGGGCTTTGTGAGGGAAGGACAAAACAAACCCTCCCGGGGAGGGAGCTTGCACCACACCCATTCTCAGCCCCCTTTCTCTAGGAAAGCCCATTGCATCCGGAGGCACACCCCCCTCCTGGGACAATAGCCCAAGTGTGCCATACCTGCATGACCAGGGCCCTGACGGTCAATCTCCCCATACTGAATGGTTCCCCATGGATCAGTAGCAATGCAATGTAGAGAGTTTCCAGAGAGCGATGGGAACATGTTTCTGGAGCGGGATGGTGGGCCTCATGTGCATGTCCAGTTTCCTCAGGGCAGGGCCGAGCCACTCAGAGCTTGAGGAAGGTGTCTTTCCCAGAATGATGTGGTCCCACCAATCTGCACTGGGGTCCAGAAGCCAGATGCGGTGGGGCAGGGCATCCAGTCCAGGTTGGGTGGCCTCCAGCTGCTGGAGCTGTTCCCCCACATGCCCAAGGAGGGTCTGCCACAAGGGCTGAGGGTTGATTTCCTGCAGAGTCTGGGAGGCAGCTTGCAGAAACTGCTGCATGACTTTCAGAAGAAAAAAAAAGCTGCAAGAACTGAAGACTGCCCAGAGGCAGTTCCTGCTCCATAACAAAGAGTGCTGTGGTGTCCTGAAGCAGGGCAACCAGAGCAAGAAGAGAAAATGCTTGGCTGTCCCTCAAAGAGGTAGGCAAACAAGAAGGGAAACCTGAGTAATGGCTGTCCAGGGGGGCCCCTTTAAACAGAAACCTCAGATAGCCTCAAGCAGCAGCCACATGAAGCAACTACTGACCTGATGCTCTGCCTGACTGGTTCCAGGTGGCCTTAAATGTAATTCAGTGTTCAATCAGTGTGCACACACTATTTTGAAATAGCTAAGCATTTTGTGTGTAGATGTGCTATTTCAAAATAAGCTATTCCAGAAAATCTCTTCCAGAATACCTTATTCCAAAATAACATTCTCCAGGTAGAGGAGAAGCAGATACAGGACTCTTGAGGGACGTGTGTGTTGTGTTTGGGGCTTTCTTGCTGAGTGATGAGCTTGTGTTTGT